CAGCGCTTGTGGAGATTCAGAGGCTTGAAAATTCAAGGCAAAGTCCCACGCGGCCGCGTTCCATTTGTGTGCGGTCCGCGTGGGTGAGATTCAGAGAGGTGTCAAGTTGCCAAATTCCTTCCACGCGGTCGCGCTTCATTGTTGTGCGGTCCGCGCCCATTAGCCTGCGCGACCGCGCTACCTTTTTGCGCGGTCCGCGTCCCCAGCTTCATAAGTGAGTGATCGAGGACCAAGACCCCTACGCGGCCGCGCCAGCCCCACAGGGGTATTTTTGTCTAGTTTTTCTAGCCTAGTATAAATAGAATATTTTATTATTTTTAGGTTAAGCATTAGATATCAGATAGCAGCTGCACTCGTGAGACTCAAGTTTTAGCCTATTTTGGGCATTTTCATCTTGTTTTATCGTGGATTCTTGTAGATTAACATTCTAGTTAATTAATATGTTGATTTTATCTACTACTTCTTCAATTTCTGTTGCTATTATGTCTAGCTAAACCCATTAGCTAGGGTTGTGGCTCAACCCTAGTGTGGGTAATTAATGAGTGTGATTGTTTAATGCTTGAATGATGTTGGGTGTTTGCTATTTGGGTTAATTTTATGATTTAACTAGGATTTGGTGGTTGCAAACACTAAGTCTAGCTTAGTGGGTCTTGACTCTTCTTGAGAAAGAGTGTCTATGACTCCAAAATTAACCCAACAAGGAATTGGGATGGACCCATGAGAATGGTAGTCCCAATTAACGGGTTAAACCTCGAGAGAGTAATTACCCAACTTGAACCCTAAGTTGCTTGGGCTTGTTGGCCTACCCAATTGATCTCGAGAGAGTCAATTGGGCAAAATCACTCTTTCTACCGAGAGGTGTGAGAGTGAGTGCAATCGTGCAACGGTTATAGCATAATCCCCATAATCATCATTCTTGTATTAGGAATCTCTACCCGTTAGTTGACCACCTAGGTAAATGCCACGACCCTAGTGTCTTTCTCTATCTTGCATACAACCTAGAATTAATATCTTATCATAATTTAGTTATAATTAGTAGTTGTTAAATTGTAGTTGATAATCATAAAAACCCAAAAATGTTTGAAGATCAATTAGAAGCAAACACGCATTTCTAGGCTAAGCAAATATCCAACTCCCTTTCTAGCTCCCTGTGGAAATTGACCCCGATACCACTATTGGGTAAAAGTATTAGCGCCCACTCTTCCTAAGGTTGAGTCCGCTGCGATCACACGACAAGAAGGAACAAATGAGAAGTATCACAGACTGTCTAAGAGTGACTACATACAAGGTCTGAAGAAAAATACATAGTATTGTTTCTGAACGAGAGATAAAGGAAACAGGAAATAGAGATAGAGGGAGACGCCAGGGCCCGCGAATGCCTGCCGGTCTACCTTGGGTCTCCGGATGGACTGAAGGAAGCCCTCCAACTACTGACCAAAAGCCGCTCCGGGATCTGCACATAGTGCAGAGTGTAGTATCAGCACAACCGACCCCATGTGCTGGTAAGTGCCTGACCTAACCCCGGCGAAGTAGTGACGAGGCTAGTACCAGACTCCAGATAAACCTGTGCAGTTATATAATATATGGCGGAAAAGTAAACAGGTAATTAGCAATTAAAGTTGGGGAAGGGGAACATGCTTCAGGGGTAGCTGATAAAACAAAATAACAAGGAATAGATAAGGAAGCTAACAATATAACTTCTAACACAGATAAAGAAAATAAAGACAAATTTCACTTTCAGTTTCCATCCTGTTGCAGGCGTGCAACCTGATCCCATTTCTCATATCTTGTGGTAGGCATACCACCCGCTCCCATTCTATCATATCTTGTGGTAGGCGTACCACCCGCTCCCATTTCATAATATCTTGTGGTAGGCGTACCACCCGCTCCCATTTTATAATATCTTGTGGTAGGCGTACCACCCGCTCCCATTTCATAATCTTGTGGTAGGCATACCACCCGCTCCCATTTCATAATCTTATGGTAGGCGTACCACCCGCTCCCTTTTACAGTTCATCATAAATTACAAGAAATCCCGGCAAGGGAACATAAGCAATAGAATGACTTCCCGACAAGGGAACAAAGGCAATATAATAATTTCTCAACAAGGGAACAACAATATCGAAATAGTCATCCCGGCAAGGGAGAATCAGCTATAACCAATCTTAACTTAGCTTGTACTCAGCTCAATTCATGGCAATGCTCAATCATAAATAAGATCTACGAGGATAAGACACATCTCTGCTCAATGCAGAAGATCATTAATTAAAGCATCCGAAATGCATTTAAGAACACAACAACTTTCAATTTAAGACTCACGGTCATGCTCGACACCAACATATAGATACTCGTCACCATGCCTATACGTCGTACTCAACAAGAAGCAAGTAGCAAATATGACTCAACTCCTAATCCCTCAAGCTAAGGTTAGACTGAACACTTACCTCGATGCCTTGAACACCACTCAAGTCTCAATTATAGCTTTACCCCTCGATTCCACCACCAATTCACTCGAATCTAGTCACAAGTTACTTAATTACATCAATAAGTGCTAAATGAAACAACCCCAATGCATGAAAATGAGTTTTCCAAAGTTTTGTCCAAAAAGTCAAAAATCACCCCCGGGACCGCGTGGTCGAAACCCGAGGTTCGGACCAAAACCCGATTACCCATTCCCCCATGAATCCAAATATATAATTTGTTTTGAAATCGGACCTCGAATTGAGGTCCAAATCCCTAATTTTAGAAAAACCTAAGTTCTACCCAAAACATCCAATTTCCCCATGAAAATCTTTGATTTGAAGTTGAATCATGTAAAAAGATGTTAAGGAGTGAAGAAAATAAGTTAGAAATCACTTACCAACATTTTGGAGAAGAAAGGTTGTTTGAAAAATCGCCTCTTATGTTTTTGGGGTTTTGAAAAGTGAAAAATAACTGAAAATCCCGTTTATTTATACCCCTCTGAGACCCCCTGTGCGGACCACGTAAAAAGGACTGCGGCCGCACAGGCTTCCCTGAAGACCTGCAGTTTAGCACCCTGTGCGGATCGCACAAAGGCGACTGCGGCCGCACAGCCTCCACCGCGACCCGCACAAAGGTGATGACCCTTTGGATCGTCACACTTACCTTACAGGAATAGCCAAGAAGAAGTGCTTCAAGCTTGCCATATTTAAGGAATTGACCACCACTACAACAACAACAAAAACAACAACAATCCAGTATAATCCTACTTAGTGGGGTCTGGGGAGGGTAGTGTGTACGCAGACCTTACCCCTACCCTAGGGTAGAGATGATGTTTCCATTAGGCCCTCGGCATCCTTCCCTCCAAGAACTTCCCACACTGCTCTTGGGGAGGCTCGAATTGACCACAACATAATATTGAAATATACCACCGCAGTACACTCATATGTATGTCAAATTCAATAAATCATTCATAAGCATACACTAAAAGTGAAAATCCTTAACAAACTAACCAAAACATCCTCCCAGAAATGCTCATGTTCCTAAATAAATATTCGCGCGTCTCTTTATCTTATTAAAAAAAGGCAAAACACAGTGTTATAATACTACATCAACATCTATTTCGATCTATTCAGTTTTAACTTTGAAATGTTTCCGCCAAAGATCATGAGAAGTTGACTATTACTTCTCTTTTATCATAGTCGACTATTACTGCTTTAGGTGATGCATGCCCAAACTTTGATAGTTCATCGAGTATTTCTGCTGTTGTCTCAAGATTAAATACAGTATAGATGAGCGTTTTCACCATCATTGGCGACTTGGCTAGCAAAAGCTTGATAAGCTGCATCTCAAGCATTGTTCTTCCAAAGCTTATTAGCATAACTTCCCTGAGATGATTAAATGTGACATCTGAGAAACGTTCGAGTTCAAGGGATTCAGGAGCACCATCATAATATCCATAGATCTAAAAAGATAACAAAAAGTCAACTCTCAAATTATTGAGGATCTAAGAAGAATGAAGAAGGAAAAAAGAAAAGAGTCAAAGCACTAAGAACCTCAATTTCGAGATATTCTAAATATGGGGAGCTTCTTATCAAGCAGAGAGCACATGAGAGCTTATATGATTCCTTCACCACAATATTAGACAGGCGCAATTTTTTGAGACGGTTAAGATCAAAGGGAAGCCTTGTCGGTGTTTCATCTGCAAAGAACTAGGAACAAACACCAAAACTCAAGATGGGTTTGCCCGAAAGAAGTTCCATCCGTGAAAGTGCATAATAATAAAGTCATGAAGCAACTTATACCTTGCTATGACCGAAGTTTAAGAGGAGGTGCTCAAGAGCAGAACATGACTCGAAAAACTTGGCATAATCAAAATTATGTGCCTCCATATAAGAACCCTCATGCATTAGAGATGCTTTTGCCATAAGAGGGACACTCTTTAGACAGATAGAACTTATACTACCCGTGAAATCAAAGGATCTCAGCATTGGAGCATTAATTTCAATTATGTTTAAACTTTCCGAGATTTTCAGCACGAACTGCTCAAGCAACGGGCAATGAGATATTAAACTTCCGAGCAATTCAGAAGAAATTGTGACTCTACATAGTTCCAGGCTGACTAACCTATCAAACCCTTTAAAGGCCGGTGGAGGATGTATTAAGCAATTGTGAAGATTTAGATGCCTTAGTTGTGAACATATGAAAAGTGAAGAAGGCAATTTGTATATATCGTCCTTTGGAAGGCGAGAACAAGATGTTGAATGCCTTTCCTAGACAGGAAATATATGAAATTGTCAATCTCAGGACATTCTTTCAGATAACGATGAGTAATGTTAAGCTTAAACTTAGTAATCGGTCCTTCATGATGGGTCAAAAGCTGGTACGCAATCTTCGCAAATCTAACTGTAGGGTAAAGTCGATCCTTTTGTGTTCTCCAAAGAGATTCATAAAGCTCAAACTTTGCAAGTCTACACCAGTGATACCTCCATTTCTTCGATAATTCGCTTGTCCGCACACCATCTTTACAAGGCAAACACATCAGAATGACATCGATTACATTATCAGGAAGGTTGCTAAGGACGTCAGGGGGTAAACCTTGACAATGCTTTCTTCCCTCAGGCAACATCTTATAAGAACAATCACCAAGAAACTGTAGACAATACGCAATATTACGAAGTAAGGAATCTCCAAATTATATGGGAAAAAACTGACAAAACCTCCAAACTATCATAACAGAACTACTATTCACACTGTCATATCAACATAGGAACGAAAGGATCACTTATAACACAAATCACCAAGAAACCGTAGGAAATAAACAACAATACGAAGTAAGGAATCTCCAAACTATATGGACGAAAAGGCTTTTCACATGGTCAAATCAACATAAGAAATAAAGGTGCATTGTAGTTGCAATCAGTCAACTATCTCCCCTTAATATCTATATATGGATAATTACTTTGCCTTCATATACAATTATAAAAATAGAACGGGTACAATAACGGAGTGGATATTTTGTGCAAATTCTTTAAAATACACGAAAAATTAGAAACTTTGACATAGCCATAGTGGATACTTTGACACATCTCTACCTGGATATGTACCAATAAAACAACTCCACGTAACATTGCATTCTCACAGCAAGGACAACTCCTATCAATACTTCCTAAAATACATTTGTCGGTTAAGAAGAAAAATCAAAAGTGCAGAAACCCAAAATCATATTATCTGTTTTCTTCTTCTTCTAAGCTTATTAAACATCACGATCAACAATAAAATTAGGTCATTTTTAACTTTTATGTAACAAAATAAACTTTACGAAGCTGTTTGATACTCAATTGTTGAGTATCAGCTGAAAATTAATGGAACAGTAGCAGAAGTAGGGGAGAAGGAACAGAGAAACAGAATGAGGCAGAATTGAAGAAGAAAGGGATTGGGAGAACTCAGATTTTCTGTATATTCATGATAATGTGTGAATACAAGGCCTATGAACTATTTATAAATGCTGAAAATACAAAAAGGATTACACCATTTGAGTAACTAACGTTCCCGCCAAAATTCAAATGCTAACCTAACTTTCAAATATTAGCCTAACTAACATTTACACCTTTAGCCACTAATAGGTGTATCAATACCCCCGGGATGGACAACACCCTTGTCCTCAAGGGTGAAGGAAGGAAAACGAGTCTTCAAAGCAGATGCTAACTCCCAAGTGGCATATGAAGCATCCAAGCCAGACCATTTAACTAAGCATTGGGCAACAACTTTGTTACCTATTTTAACCAACCTGCGATCCAAAACAGCTTCAGGCATGGGGCAATATTGGCTGGATAGGTGAACAACAGGAGGGTGAACAATAGTGGCAGGAATGTCATAACAAAACTTGAGTTGGGACACATGGAAAGTAGGGTGTAAGAGGACCTCAGGAGGAAGAAGGAGCTTATAGGCTACTGCCCCTACCTTCTCAACAATAGGATAAGGACCAAAGTAGCGAGAAGTGAATTTGTGATAAGAAAAAGGAGAAAGAGTGGACTGCCTATAAGGCCGAAGTTTAACAAACACCTAGTCCCCCACATTGAACTGTTTGTCAGATCTATGGGCATTAGCCTGAGATTGCATTCTTTACTGGGCTCGAGTAAGGTGGAATTTGGCAAGTTGAAGTTTGAACTCATAAAGTAAAGCAACCTCCTCAATGGAAGGAGAGTCAGAATCTCCAGGTAAGTAAGGCAAATGTAAGAGTGGAGGGTAACCATACAAGAGTTCAAAGGGAGAAGTGTGAATAGCAGAATGAGGGCTAGTGTTATACCACCACTCAGCTAAGGATAGGAAAAGATACCAATCAGTAGGTGAATCAGTACAGAATCAATGAAGATAGGTTTCTAAGCAACGATTAAGAACTCAGATTGGCCATCTGTCTGAGGGTGATAAGCTGTAGATGTTTGGAGGGTGACACCTTGAGCAGTGAGAAATTCCTTCCAAAAGGTGCTAATAAAGATAGGATCCCTATCACTAGTAATGGAGGCTGGAAAACCATGAAGCTTGAAAATGTTATCTAAGAAGATAGGAACTAAGGATTGAGCAGTGTAGGGGTGGGATAAGGCAATGAAGTGAACATGTTTGGTAAGTCGATCAATGATCACCCAAATGACAGATTTTCCTTTAGACTTAGGCAAGCCCTCAATAAAATCCATAGTAATATCAGTCCAAGGAAGAGAAGGTATAGGGAGAGGCTGCAAAAGGCCAGGAGAAACAGCAGTATCATACTTGTTCCTTTGGCAAACATGGCACTTGTGAATGAAATCAATAATGTCAGTATGAATGCCCTTCCAATAGAAATAGGAAAGAACCTTCCTAGTAGTGGCATCAATGCCAGAATGCCTTCCAGCAGGGGAAGAATGCCAAAGGCTGAGAATTTTAGTTCTCAGAGTTGTATCATTGCCAACCAACAGTTTACCCTTCCTTCGAAGTTGTTGATTAAGCCAAGTAAGGTGTTTTTGGGGCGTATGCTGGAGAGAAGCAATCAGAGCAGCAAGCTCGGGGTCAGCAGTCCAACTATCTTGAATTTCCTTCCAAAGATCAGTTTGGACAGAGCTCATCAATAGGGACATGAGTTCAGCATCTTGAACTCTGGACAAAGCATCTGCAGCTATGTTATCCTTGCCCCTTTTATACTGGACTTCAAAGTCAAAAGGAAGAAGTTTGGCCAACAATCTGATTTGAGAATCAGTATGAAGTTTTTGTTCCAAAAGATACTTTAAGGCCCTTTGATCAGTCTTCACAATGAAATGAAGACTGAGTAAAGAATGAGACCACTTTGTGACAGCAAACACCAATGCCAAGAGTTCCCTTTCATAGATAGAAAGAGTAATATGCCTAGGAGCAAGACTTTTGCTAATAAAGACTATAGGGTGATCAGATTGCATCAAAACAGCACCAATACCAGCACCACTAGCATCAGTTTCCACAACAAAAGGCAAAGAATAGTTTGGCAAAGCCAAAACTGGGGCAGATGTGAGAGCATGTTTTAGCTCAGTAAATGCCAGGTTAGCAGAATCATTCCAATGGAAATTATCCTTCTGGAGCAACTCAGTTAGAGGTCTGCTTATCAACCCATAACCTTTGATAAATTTTCTGTAATAGCCAGCTAATCCAAGAAAACCTCTTAGCTGTTTGACAGTAGTAGGAATAGGCCATTGCTGAACCACAGCTATCTTGTTTGGGTCTATGGACACTCCTTGAGTAGAAATGAAGTGTCCCAAGTATTCAACACTAGGGACCCCAAGCACATACTTGGATCTCTTGGCAAGTAACTTGTGTTGGACCATTACCTCAAAGACCTGCTGTAGATGCTGGACATGATCGACTAAGCTTAGGCTGTAAACCAAAATATCATAAAAAAAGACCATCACAAATCTTCTCAAAAATGGGAGAAACAAGTGATTCATCAAACACTGAAATGTAGAGGGTGCATTTGTCAGCCCAAAAGGCATGACTAAATATTCATAGTGGCCCATGTGAGTCTTAAATGCAGTCTTAGGGACATCCTCAGGCACCATTCTGATCTAGTGGTATCCAGATCTAAGGTCAATTTTAGAGAAAATGGTGGCTCCAACTAGTTCATCCAATAAATCACCAATAATAGGAATAGGGAATTTGTCCTTTATGGTGCAATGGTTTAGTTCTCTATAATCAACACACAATCTCCATGAACCATCCTTTTTACCTACCACAACCACAGGTGATGAGAAAGGACTGTTGCTGTACTGAATCACTCCTTGCTGTAACATTTCCTTCACCAGTTTCTCAATAATATCCTTCTTCATAGAAGAATACCTATAAGGTCGAATGTTGATTGGTTTAGCTCCAGGTTGCAAACGAATCCTGTGGTCAAATGCACCCCTTTGAGGTGGTAAAATAGTAGGTGCAACAAACACACCCTCAAAATTGCTGAGAAGATCATGAAGCGGCTGTGACACTGCCTCATTTGTTGAGAGATGAATAACATTCAACTGGATAGACTGTGGTTACTCAACCAAGACATGTAGCATAAATAATTCCACATCATTCCCCTTAGACTTATTGACAGCCTTTGGGCTTGACAACCTGCAGGCATCAGGAACTCCCTTTAATACATGTTGCTTGCCTAAATAGTTATAAGTCATAGTGAGGGCTGAATAATCCATAGTCACTGGTCCAAGAGTCTTCATCCGTAAAGCACCCAATACTAGATCATATTTTCCCACTGGAAACACAATCAGATCAGATTCATAGGTTGTGCCTTCCAACATCCATTGGAAATTCCTCACTATACCAGATGTGGCCTCCATTGTGTTGTTACCCAGGCTGACATACCCCACATTAGTTGGAATCACAGTACACCCAACCTCTTAGCTGATTCAGAGTCAATGAAATTATGTGTGCTACCTCCATCCAACAAAAATTTGAATAGGTCTCTTGTCACTATATCCAGTAACATGGATAGTTTGAGCACCCTGAATGCCTGTTAGAGCTCACAAGGATATGAAAGGCTGCTCACTACCAAGAGCTGACCACTCCTCACTTGGTGATTCACTATCATTGCTGCCATTCCCATTATCAACAGATTCATCTTCAGCTACCTCTAGTTCCAGCACAAATATTTGCTTTGGAAGAGTGCACTTATGTCCAGGAGTAAACTTATCATCACAAAAGTAACAAAGTCCTTGGGCTCTTCTACTTTGCATCTCAACAGAGGATATGGTTCTCCTTGTTTTAGGAACAATTGCAGTAGCATTAGCTGGGGAATTCAGCCTAGCTGATTGCATAGGCTGATTACTCTTAAGGCTTGAGCTATCATAGACAGATTTCCTAGCTGATGAATAGCTCCTAGGTGACATGTGTTTTAGGGCTCTAGCATTGGCAGCTAATGTTGCTTATGCTAACCTAGCTAGCCGATACGTTTTGATTTAGGCTCATGCATTTTAATAGGATGAACTAATTCTTCCTTCAAACCTCCCAGAAAACATGAAATGGCTTGCTCAGCAGTTAGACTACACTGAGCCAATAGTCTATCAAATGCAAACTGGAATTCCCTCACAGATCCAGTTTGCCTTAATTGTTTAAGTTCTAACATAGGATAAGCAAACT